TAGCAACCACATCTCTCAGTGAATGGATTAAGTGTTTCATCATGTAATATATTAAAAAACCAAAACTACTATCAACATAACTCCCTCCTTTTAATGAAGTCTAAAGTAATGGAACAGTTCTGGAACACAAAAATAAATTAAGATCTAACCATACTTCAAAAACGTTAATTCTGTACTGTAAAAGGGTTACTAAAGTAGTCACCTGAACTTCGTCATCTTTGCGAATTGGCATGGCACGGACGTTGTACTTCTGACGCAGCTCCTTTGATAGGGGGCTAGACATGAACTTTCTCTTGATATGAGAAGGGGCGCTGAAGTATCGTTGCCGGTTTTTACGCCGGGACTCCGTTACCATCTTATTGATCTTCATGGTGGATGCTGAAAAAGAATGCTTGGATTAGACAAAATACCATCTTCAAGAACTTGGACAGAATCCCTTTAGTCTCAGATTAGACATAAAATCCGTGAGCCAGGCAAGGCCTGGTGTGGTTGCAAGGAAGCTTGTATGTTAGTTTGATACCTCATTCAAGAGAACCTTGAATTAGCTCAGTGACTACTTACAGAGACGGACAGGTGTCTCAGCACCCTAGCAACCACATCTCTCATAAAATGGATTAACTGGTATCATCATAAAAATCTTTACCACCTGAGTAAATGCAAATAAATGTGGCCAAAAATGAAATACATCCACATACTAATAGTTAAAAGTGGCATAAACAACCCAATGCCTGCAGATGGCAAGATGCCCGTGCAAATGCCCACTATAATTTGAGTTTAAAACTCAATTGAATTGAAGGTAGGAGAGGTTAGGTTTGGAGCTTTGGGTTCGCATGCCACCCTGGTACAGGGCCTTTGTCTCTGGAGAGTATGGAAGGTAGCAGAGAAATTTGGAAGGAAATAGGAGTAATGCACATTACTGCTTGTTACCACAAGCAATAAATAATTATCTCAGTGACAAAAAAAAGTAATAAAAACAGATACAGCTGTACTTAGGGGTGCATCACTCAGTAACAAGTATCCTATTTCTTGTAATGACCATGCACAACCTGTGAAAATTAAGTTTTATAATGCCTGTTTTCCTATTATCATTACTCATTTGATAGTGGCAAGTTAACCCAATGGCGCCGGGTGTACAAAAAAAAAAAAAAAAAAAAAAAAAAAAAAAAAAAATGCTTAAGCAAACAAAGGCGGTGCGCCGACTTTGAGCGTGTGAGTAGGGGACATCAGCCCGAATCACTGGCTCGCCGCCGGCTCGTTTGGCTGCACGCCAGCTTTCGAGCACTTTGTTTACACGCCGATCGGCGTCACCCGGCACCAAGGGGTTAAAATGGCAGTGGGCATTTCCATCCATCTGTGCATCTCTCAGTAAGATTAACCAGAGGAGAGCCCACTTATACCTATTACAGACTAGTTGTGCTAGTTCCAGCCATTAGTGTTTGTAGCTTGTCAAACAACCACAGGGTTTTTGGACTTAATGCTACATCCATCAAGTTGGACAGGTTTTGAATTCAGAACCATTTTGGCATCTAGGACATTGTTTGTCCACCACTGCACCTGGGCTAGCAGGACAAAATGATGTTGCAATAGCTTATGCATGCAAACAATAACAGTTGTGGGCAATTACAAGATTTTGGTAGGTAATTTGGCATTAGTTACCAAGTGCAATGGAACCTCCAGTCCCAAATCCATGATAACATGTGAACCCAAAATACAAAAATAACCTTTCCTACTTTCTATTAAATCCCTAGACAGGCAGGCAAGCGACTGGCATCCCCCTTTTAAACCGTGTGAACTTACAGAAAGTGCGACATTAACCTATTGCTGCCGGGGATGGCATGTACGTACATGCCATGCCCACTGTGAGTCAACTTGTTCGATTGTTTTTACACATAGATGGCTACACTTGTACTAAGTATCCAATGAGCCAATTACGAGTACTGCCTGTCTCGGCCATTCACCCTTTTCATCAATTTACGAAAACATTTAACGTTATCCTAATTTGCTGTAAAAAATAACACCATCTATATTTATAGCACTGGTAAAAATACGTTTTTTCCCGCCAATTCAAAGATGGATGAAATCAGGACTAGCAGAGCCATCTAGGACAGATATTTCACAAAACTATAAAAAATGAGTACAGAATTTTCCCCATTCTTTTTTCACTTTCCCCAGCGGCAATGGGTTAAGAACTATGGCAGTGCGAGGGTGTTGTGGACTTGGTCTCTGAACAGTGACAAGCAGAAGGCATTTTTTTATTTTCCCAATAAACAATGTCACTGCAGATGTGCCAGTATTGCTTCCTTTTCTTTTTCTCTCTCAATAGATGGTAGTGCCTATTTCCCTCTTAACCCTTTGCCGACAGGTATAACATGTACACACATGCCATGCCCATTGTGAGTTTACTTGTTTAATTGTTTTAACACACAGATGGCTACACTTGTACTAAATCACCAATGAACCAGTTACGAGTACCACCGGTCTCGTCCGTTCACCATTTTCATTGATTCATTGATCCCAATTTTTATTAATTTTCCCTGGCGGCAATGGATTAACCAGTAAATTCATGTCCTATGTATTAAAGTAGAGGCACTTGTTACCGAGAGTAACGCACCCTCCAGATATTTCCCAACATCCTGAAGTAATCTTTCCTACCTTCAACCAGTATAATATACTGAAGTTTCACAAGAGCCAAATGGATTGTAGGTAATGAAGGCCTTGGGAGGGTTCAAAATCCTGCCACAGCCTGCCGGTCCTAAGTTGCCTGGATGAGCAAGAATAGGAGTTCCTAGTTCACCATTACATTGTGGTCTAAATTCCTTTCCCTACTCATCCAGAGAACCTTTCAGGACCAGCAGGACGAGGCCACATTCGGAGCCTCTGAGGCCTTCCAGTACCACAATGCAACCAGCTCAAATGTAAACATTTTATATCAGTGCATTTTAAATACTGCACAAGTTACGTAATTTCATATGCACAGTTAACCCAATGTCACCTGGAAAATGTTACCTTTTTTTATTTCTTTGAGTGAAATGTGTCTGCACATAGATGGCTCTGCTAGTGCTTGGTTAAAAGGGAGTCAATTAGTGACCTTGCCTGATTTCACCAGACTTTTTACAATTGATACAAATATTGGCTATTAATTTATAAACATTATAATTACTATAGTGGTATAAAACATTAGTAACAGCAGAATAAGAATGCAAAATATTTTCCTAAATCAAGGAAAAGGGTAAACAGGTGAGAGTTCTCGTAATTGGCCCATTGGTGACTGTACAAGTGTAGCCATTCATATGCAAGGCATATACATACATGCCATGGCCAACAGCATTGGGTTAACTTACCTGAAAGTGATAAGCAGAAATACCCTTTGATACCAACAATAAAACTATAAAATTACCTACAATACCTGCAACTGTCACTGATCACATACAAAAGGTTAAACTTTACAGTATTGACACACTAAGGCAAGGCAAATTGAAGCACATGTTCTTACAGAGGACATTGCATTTATCGGAAAAAAGAAATAATCTGCCATGACAAAGATCCCAGAAGAGCCCAAGTCCCCTCAGTCTTCCCAAGTCTCAGCTCTATCTTGCCATGCATACCATTGTAAAGAATGCTTGTTGGGGGATGTTGGCCCCATCAACCCTCCCCTCGGGCAGTGCCTGTAGGGGATGCCCAGTCATGGCAAATTGGATTGAGTAAATTTTGTGACGGAGTTGAGGACAGTCTCTGGCAAATGCAACCGTACTATAAAGAATTACCAGTATACACAATATTGTGACATATCTTCCCGCTAACCAAGCTGTGATGGAAGGCGAGATGGACAAGACGAACAACTTGTCCAAGACCCCAAATTAGGGGTTACAAACCATTGAAACATCTTGTCCATCTTGTGGGACGGAAGTCCCAAATGCAGCACAAGTTAGAAGGCATTCCATCTTAAATTTAATGGATTTGGTTCAACATTCATAGGTAAGAGAATGCTGTTTTGGAAATTACTGTGGATCATTTGGTAAAATTTGTATTTTAATTCACACCGTGCCGCCTTACATGAAATATGAGAATATGAAAGACTACAAACACTTGATAATTCCAGGCTTTCGATCACTTGGGTCCCCTATAAAATATTCTTCAATATAAACAAACCTTAACCTTAGCACAACCGTCTTTAGCTTCACCAAACATTATGGTTCGATGGTCTTTCACAGGAACCTTGTGGAAGTAAAAGATTTTCCCCTCTCAGGCAGGCAGCTCGCCAAGCCATTTTCACGTGTTAAGTTTTTCATTCAATACATCAAAATGATCTGGCTTCTCATTCAGGATTCTCCAGTCACTATATAACATTCATAAACTAGTATAATTAAATTAATAAACTAAAGCAGACCCTCAACATTTTAACCAACTTCACGTGTTTACATCGAGTCGGCACTGGTGTTTTCCTTCCAAAAACACATTTCAGAGTAATTCTTCCCTCGAAATTGTTATCATCGGATTACGTGAAAGCTCCTTTACTTCTTTCTAACAAACGCTGATATGTCTAGAACACTCCCCCACTTTCACTCACGTCGATGGTAAAAGACAGCCAAGATAAAGTAAGATAAAGTTAAACATTCGGAGGACCTACATGACCACTCGCACCGCCACTGTAGAGGAAGGTCCGAGGCCGCGGTGCATCCTGGGAACCTCGCTCAGGCTTACCAACCCTTATGTGGCTGTATTTCTTAAAACATTTTTCAATATTTCGAAGTAAAAACACAAAATAGGAGATCAAGAATTTTTCTGTTTGTAATCATTGGTTAAAAGTGCCTTGAAATGATGAGTTTTTACCTTCTTTTGTGTAATCACATAAGACAAATTATTCCTGCTAAATTTTGAAAAGTAAGCTCACTGAAATTAATAAATTAGCATCATTTCAATAACTGATATTAAATCCAGTGCTCAAACACACCATTATCTTTTTAGGTCCGAAGATGAAAAATCCTTTCGATCAGCTGTTTCGCGATTGGTGCCCCTGACCAGTAAACAATGGCAGCTACCATTGGGCGTTTCGGTAAAGCTCTTGTAAGTTATAATTTTATACGTTCGTCGAGTTAACATTTCATAACTTTCATGGGAACCTCACTCTGGAGCAAATGATAGCACAATATGGCATTTTGGTAATTACTTTTTATGTCCAAAAGGAGGTTGTGAAGTACCAACTAACACGTTACACAATTCCTACAAATCAAGTATTTATTTAACACGTAAAAGAAAAGAGAAGATCCCCCAATTTTGGCTAAGGCGCTCATCTTGTTTACATGCGAGGGTGAATTCTAGACGCATATACTACCACAGGGGTCCAGGGGGCATAGCCGCCTGGCTAGGCGCATATACTGCTACGGGGGACCAGGGGGCTCTGCCCCCTGGCTTGGGAATATATACCACAGTGTTAGGTTAGCTTGGATGTTGGCTTAGGACGTTTTGTTTAACAACCATAGGAGTCCTGTTTTACCCCATAATTTCCCTGATATACTTCACGCCCTCCCCTGCTATTGGGACTATCAAATCAAGATTGTCGATGGAGATGGTGATCATATCTCCTCAACGATTCATTTACACAAGGAACAATGCCTAGAATCGTTGTTTCAAAAGTAACCCACAACCCCCTTCT